TCAGTAGTTAACCAGCGGCCAGTAATTCTGTGTACTGGCTGCATGTTGTTCTTTGTAGCCAGCATATCTGACAAAGTGGTGAAAAGTTTTATAAATGTTAATTTAAAACAGTTTTCCCTCTGTTTAACTTGACCCCTTGTTATTAACCCGCCTCTTGGTTCTCTCCCGAAAACCACTACAACACCGCTCGTGAACTATCTGTAACCATGGTTACGAGGTTATTGACTACAACTCCTGACTTTATGTCAGTCCCTTATTTATTTTTGTGTCCTGCTCTTTACTCCGCACTCGTTTTAACTCATAATTTATGTGCTATTTTGCTATTGCAGCTGATTTCTCTCGTCCCTCAAGGACCCATTAATTTGGAGCTATTTTCCACCGTTTATTTCTCCTAACTTAATTAAACTTACAAGGCAGCTGAGACTGGGTGACTACCAGACTACTGTTTTGCTGAAACTACATCTGTTAACAGGCTGTAGAGTCATGTGTGAGCGTTGTCATGGTGAACTGAGTCATGTGTGAGCGTTGTCATGCGCCATGCGCCAGGAGCTGGTATCCGCACGCACACATATGTGCAACACAATTGGCAGCTAACGCCAGACACTGCAATTCTGTGATTTTAACTCAACAATTAACTAACGTACGCGCTGGTCAGCAGTAAGAGATATGTAGCACCATGCTCTGGGCCGGGGACTGTTAGAATGTGCAGGGACCAGTACTGTCCACAGTTTACTCTTAGTCCTATTAGTATTCGTCCCTTCTCACTGCTGTTTTAAGACAAGTAATTAGCGATTAAATTGTTGTTTATTGATTATTAAAGTATTAAATAGCAAGTAGCTGACATATCGTCCCTTTGTTCGCTTTGACGGTTCGCTGTACACTAAATATTTGACATTTTCATTGGTTGACCAGTTCCCCCTTAAATTAACGAAACATTCTGTCCCAACTCCCACACGAGTGCACCACATTACAACAGCTCACTTTAACCGTGAACGCTTACTTACTTTTCACAGATCAAAGACAATTGTAGTTGTCACCATTACAGGAACCCGGTAAACCCCCCCCCCCCCCCCCCCCTAAAATATCGCAATAAAGCTAGCGACCATCATTAATCCCACTAGTAAAAGTGTTGTGGGTAGGTGAGGTCGTGAGTTTGCTGTATATTTTAACTTTACAGATTTGCTTACTATAATTATACTGATATTAAATATACAGATAATCACTTTATTTTTAGTCTTGCTCAGAATCAGATAGGCCCAGGTCAGCCCGAGTGCAAAGTGATTCACCTGCGAACTTGGTAGTAAGTTTTGCTTTTGTAACCTCCAAACAGCTTGAGAAACAGCTTTATATTCTTGTAGAATCCTGCTCAATTCTACCTCGTTTGAAAGGATCCTGGAGATGTGACAGGCGATAGTTAAATGTTAATTCGGCTGAAAAAGGCGAATATTTGTAGTTTGTGCTGATTCGGGTACTTGTATAGAAGAAAGTCTCGGAAAACCTTTAAACGTGGCAGCTAGTTCTGCTTTTGTAAGATCGTGACAAACACTAACAGCTCCACAGTCTTGCAGATTCTTGCTCACTTTTAGTATCTTTTGAAAGCCCCGACAGTGACTAGTTTGGGTTGATTAGGGTGGGTATTTGTATACCTCAGGAATCTCTCGAACCTGGCATTTGATTCTGATTTTGTCAGATTACCAGATTCCGGCAGAATTCTTTGACTCTACCACATGGCACCCACATGGCACCCACATGGCACCAGAATATTAGAGCTCTGTCATACGTTTGAGTAACTGAAGCTGCGATCGTTTTCATCTTTTTGATAAACTTTAGAATCATGAAATTGTACTCATCTGAGTAGGTCAACTTGAGTCGGTCAACTTGAGTCGCATCAGTTGAACCGTATGCGATTCATTTTAATTCGAACAGTTTTTATTAAATTACAAGTTATTGCGAATTTGTAAAACAGCAATTTTCCTGCTTTAATAATCATTGTGAGCAGCAATAAAAATAATGTGTTCTATAATCCCTTGCTTATCCGTGAGTTTTTGCCATTGTTTGAGTTACAACGCCACTTAACTCAACGATTTGTATTAAATTGGCGCTCATTTGGCTTCGTATTGTCTATTGATAATTGAAGATCCGAGCCTTTGTAGTGATATTCACTTGCATTCCAGCTTTAATTATCTCCTTTCCGGCGCATTAACTTTATCATTTCACAAACAGTGGTCCAATAATTAAGGGTATGTTTGACGCTACATGGTTCACAAACTCCATTAATTTTATCTTCTCCGTGAATTTGTTGCTTCTCATTTTGTTTGTAGTCTTGTTATTTCTATCACTTTTACTCCTACACTTTCTTCCACATCACCTGTGAACCATCATTTACATCATTTACCGTCAGTCAACAAAATGAACAGGTCAGTTTAATATTTAACATACTCTACACCTTATCTAAACGTAATCCACACATTATAAGATGATAGTAGTCTTTATCAGTACACACATCAGAGGGGGAATCATATCACAACACAACTTTTAACATTGGAGGCAAAGAATTTTCCTCGAACATCATTACTATAATCGCTACATATATAAACTTAATATTAATCTATATTATAACACACATAACCCCGGCATGCGCAGGGATTATATTTCAATTTTTCCCGCGACGCGCGGGAAAAGTTTATAATAATTTCGAGTGCGAAGCACGAGGGATTATTATGAGAATAACCCCGACGTGCTTTAGCACGAGGGGTTATTTTAATATAACTTAAGCGTGCCGGTGTTATGTGTTATAAACCCCTCCGGGTTAGTGCTAGGACCAACAAATTTGACATTTTACTCTTAAATATAGCTATATGAGATCATTATGGAAAATATGAAATGGAATTGGGGACTACCAAATAAATACAACTAAGGTACTATGACTTTTGAAATTGGCGTTATATCTAAACATTATTCCTCAGTCAGAACGTTGAATGAATATGAATATCGATAAGGGGCGTCGAGTTAAGCCTGGCAAGCGATAAAAGCTAATAATGATATCGTGTCATGAAGTTTATCAAAGTAGACGACTATAATACATGGCTTATATCAAACACGACAAAATTAACCGAACCGGACAAAATCAAATGTAACCGTCGAGACAAGTTTTGGAACTGGTCCAATTAATGTAAGAGTTTAAGTAATGTAAGCAGTGTGCTGGAGTTTTGCCAGCGCCTGCAATTAGACCGATACGTAGATCGAGTGTATTTATAGTTCTTACGTTAAGCCATAGGTCACGTGACATTTTTTACCAATGCGCGTCGTAGTAGTTAGTCACGTGATACACGTCATCAAAACACGTGACAGTACGCGGTTGAAATTCTCATCGAATGTCAAAACAAAACAAATCTTGTTGAGCCAAATTAGCGGGGCGGGATTATAAAAGCTGTGCCGGGGTTATTTATTCAGCGGGAAAAAACTAACAGCGGGAGCCGGGATTATCAGAATCTATTTAGCGGGAGCCGGGATTATCAGAATCTTATTCTATCCCGGAGGGGTTTATAAAGTAATGCAAGTTAGTACGGATAATAATATTAATGAAAATACGGAGCCTGCAAATTGTAAGGAAAATCTCTAAAATCTAAGAGGGGCCTTTTCAATGGTCTGCAACTTCCCTCAAAGCAGATTCTTTACTTGTGGAGTATAGGGAACGTTGTTTTGCAAACTTCACGCCTTTTTGACAAAAATCCAATCCTTATGCAGAATGCTACCCTTCCCAGCGGCCAGCGTTCGTTCGAAGAAAAAAAACGACCAGCGTTCGTTCGATAATCTATCGAGGGCGCCAAAACAAAGTAGCAATCTAGCAAGAGAGCTCGACATATTGTGACGATACTGTCCATGACTATGCAAGCATTATTACATTACCGTCTATAATATGGTCACGTCATCCTAACGTACTACTAACTGTCGCCCTTTGATCCTCAGAGCCGAATCTTGGCACAAGCAAGCACCGTCGTCACTTTCAGGGTGGTTTCGTGAGCTCTGCCCTTAACGTGACCATTTTAAGAGCAATGTTAGATACGCGAATAAAGCTTTTTGTTAGGAGTTGTGTGTTTAGTATGAAATATTACCAGGGATACCATTAATGTCCGCCATCTGATTTTCATATTTCATTTTTTAGTAAATAATTTATATCTCTTTTGCTCTGTGTTACTTTGGTGAGTGCTGATTAAGTGATTAGTGTTACACAGCACATTGTAGTCATGTGTTTTTAAGTATCACCCTGCTCAATTTACGTCATCTTGATCTAGTTTTTAAAAAGATAATACTTATTTATTGGTTTTTGTGAACCTAATAGCTTAATAGAGTGTCAGATGTAATAGTTCATAATACTGATGGGTAGTGTTATAGAGTTATATGTAGTGTTGTTATACAGTGTTATAGGACGCAGTGTTGACACCCACTCTGCACCGCATAACCATGGTAACATACCATGGTACCTGATAACTATGGTTACACCATGCATACTGAATACCGACTGGGATTTTGATTATCTCCAAATCTGTTATCTGTGCTACTCATTCCTGCTCATATCGCATTACTCTTCCGGGATATTCACCAATATCGGGCCATCTTCAATGAAGATATTGGGTATTTAAGAAATTTGGTCCAGTAAAACTGCAAATTATCCGAGAAATATTCGATGGTTTGGTACCTATAAACTTCGTTTTGTAATTGTGTTTGATTCTGTTTTGTGAAATCTCCTCGCGAAAAGACAAAAGATCATGTGTGCAATGTATTCGAACAATGCACAATGTGCATTGTTCGAATACATTGCACATGCACCAAAACGTGGGGGTGGTTGCCGTGGTTATTACTTATTTCGTAAAAGTTTTCGTACAACAAATTATGCATGGGTAGAAGGGTTGGGTTTCCACCAATTGTGAAATGTAAGTGATGACATGTTGTATGACATTAGTATTATTGTTATTTTACATATTTTCCCCGCTAGGTAAAGATGCGTGAGAAATGGTTTTACAACTCCATGTTTTTGTACCATGTGTTTGTGGTATGGTACCGGTTCCAGTTTCCAATGGTCAGCGATGAGGACAGGACTTTTGCTGGTCAGTAACTACTTTATTGTGTGTTTTTAAAAGTATAGCCTCACTTTGTTAACAACCCTAAAACAGGAAACGCTCATATTTTTAAAGACTCTGCGATTTTTGTTTAGCTCATGTTTTTCGGCAAGTCTTATGTTTTACAATGTTGAACTGACCAACTTCACTTCATATGTTCACTTTTTGATAGTAAGATATTTTGTTGGCACACCCATTATGTCACACGACACCTGTCACTAACACATTTTGTACCCCAAACATGACCACATAATAACATGATCAGACAGAAGTGTGACACTTGACTACTATTGTGACACGTGACTACTATTGTGACACGTGACTACTATTGTGACACGTGACTAATGGCCGGGGTCCAAGTCCATGGAAACCTGTGAAGTTCCAAAGACTGTCAAGTGCTGGATTATTTGGTAACAAATAAGCCAGCACTGAGCACAGCTGTCATGAAAACAAATAAGCCAGCACAGTTGTCATGATAACAAATAAGCCAGCACAGTAGTTGCAGAGTTGCTATGACAACGATTAGTATATTACTTTTCACACGCTCACTGTGAGACAACAGGGCCATGTTATGGGACCAGTTTGAGCTGAGAAGTGTGCCTAACATAACTGACAAGCTACAACTTTAGCTTTGTTCAGTTAGTTTTAGGTTTCAAGACACGGTACCTCTGAATTAATGCTAACAGAACATTCAACATACTATTAAAATATTAACATGATTAAAATGAGCCTGTTTTATTGTTATTTAACACTTGTTTCACCTCTTCAGGAAGGTGGAAGTTTCTAACTCACTGGAACGCCATGTTACAGATAGCCTACTACACGTGTTGTGGGCTCCTTGTCAACTCCAACCTACTGGACAAGTGGGAGCCTGTCCGGGACCAAGCCTTCCACATCGTCATCCTGCCTCTCAGCGTGTTTGTGAGTCTCATGTTCTGGGGTCTCTACATCTACGACAGAGACCTGGTGTTCCCAGCCCACCTGGACAAGGTGGTAACACCTTTCTTTAACCATCAGAAACACAGCGCTGTGGTTCTCTGGACCTTCCTTGAGGCGGCTATAGTACACCACAACAAACCCGGACACTTAGAGGGACATTTTATAGCAGGACTGTTCTGTGCTACATATCTAGCAGTGGTGTTATGGGTCCATGCAGCGGGGGGAGTGTGGGCTTATCCTGTGCTGGGACTCATGAGCTGGGCGGGTAAGGCCCTGTTTTCTGGTGTTAGTATTTTAGTGTACCTGGCATTTTATAGGGTGGGTCTTGTTTTTAGTGAGCTGTTACATGACCCGCCTTTTTCTATTTCCAAGTTGGATTAACTTTGGAGAGAGTTTAGGTGTTTATTTAACTTTATTATAAATTACTTGTTTTTGAGTTGCGTTATTTCGAGATTTAGTTTACTTTTTTTGTACTTTTACTATTCTGGACTGTTTGATAATGATAGTTAGTACTCTTTTATCTGTGACACAATCATGTCAATAAAGAAGACAATTTATTTTCCGTTCTACTGAAAGCGCTTCAAGTTTTTGTGAAAATGATCATTCAGAAATTGTCTCACATATCTGGGTCTTCAGCAGGAACTGCCCAGTGCGCCGGGACTCAGCTGTTTAGGGTTTAGAAACACATTATGGAAAAGAAGATACTAGAATGCCTGAATAGTACAGCTTGAGCTTTATCTCTAGCCCCACACTTGGCAAAGGCTACCTTCGGTGGTTCATGTCAACGACGATATACATTCTACCATACCAACCATCTCGATTATATAGAATTCGAAAACCGGGATATCTTCCGAGCGAGGGATATGGCCGACCTACCTTCATTCATCGAGCGTACTAAATCACTCTACAGTCGATCTTCGAGATTGTTCTAAAAGGAAGTTAGTCTAATTTCTCGTTAGGGTTAGGGTTTCAGCATATGCTTTTGTTAAGGATTGGGTTAGGGTTAGGGTTGGGATCAGATAAGAGGGTTAGGGTTTCGAATAGTCGTTCAGGACCAGCTAGAGAACTGGTTAAAAAAGTCACGTGACAGTCGAGTGTAGAGTGAATAATTATCATCCCATTTTAATGTCCGTTCAACATATTTATAAAGCAATGAAAGGCATTAGTTTGGTCAAATCAAACGGAACATATGCTATCAGACTTTCAAGTGATTCAACTGACTATGGCAGGGTTAAAACAGTTTTAACGCTAGCAACGATCCCCTTTTACATAGTTCCACTAAAATGATAATTTAAGATTAAATATGTATACTGTATAGTGATAGGTAGATAAAGTAAAAATGTAATAAAACGGTAGGGATAAAGTATACTAAGTAAACGTAGTCGACACGTCATAAAACGAACTGACCCAAACTACAATTACTCCCACGTAATTTCCCGCGTAATTCTAAAACTCCGATTTGCGATTTGCGCCGCTGCAAAGTAATTATAAAACTAAATTCAATACGTGCGACAAATATTTCGCAACATTAGAAAAGGATGCTATAGGTCAAGCTATGGCATTAATATATTTCCACACCCAATACCAAACTTATTCTTTAGCCCATGCCTCTTTACCACTGATAAGTATATTTTACTAAGACGGTCCCGTCTAAAACCCAACTCAATTAAATCATCAGTAAACTTAAAAACCTTATCAAAAAAAGCAACAACGTTATTACAGATCCTAGAATATCTCACAACCTGTGAACAGTACGTGCCATATAATACACTACTAGCTTGATTACTCATCAAAGGTTGAAACTTGACCACTTTAAAACCAAACTTATCCCTTTTATCATAAACTCTACAAGAAAACTTCCCCTCGCTATTTATCGAAATATCAAGATCTAATACATTGGCGGCACTATCTACTTCATTTTCCTTATTAAGAGTAAGAGAGTCTGGATATATTAACTTAAAATATTCCTCTAAGTAACCATCAGAGTTAAGGGTAGTAATATCATCTATAAGTCTAAATGTATTATTTAACTTCTTTACAATATAGTATCTACTTTTATACGTACTATCTAGGAAACTGTTCTCAAAATACCAAAGTGTTAAGTTAGCAATATATCACATAATGTCCGTTCAAATAAGGTCCGATAAGGTAAATCATCTTTAATACACCATAAACTGTTCGTGCAAAATCTAAAAATAAAGTTCGGACGAATACTATATTACAGTCCGCCCTAAAGAATGCATTTATTCACTATTTCATTGCATATATTATCAATATCCTCGATAACTCGATTTGTGCTAGGGTAAAGACAATAATGAACGATCCCGTCCTATCTGTACCATTCTTCGTAGCTTAGCTTTGCTTATATCGTTATGATCGTACGATTTTTGATTGAATAAAGATTACTTTCATTATAATTGGGGGATTTCAATACCAATTGGGCGCAACTGTCGTATCTGATCAAGCAGTTTTTTAATTGGTTTTGATTCGTCATCTTCCCATGGTTGCTAGATATAGATTGGGTGCAACTGTCTGGCAGCCAAAGTCTTCTGGCTCTGCCAAGTAATCTTAATTCGAGGTTCTATTTCTAGAATTACAGTTCTAATTTTCTATAGTATTAGTGCCCTAGATAAGATCTCGAGGCAGCTGTAATAACAAAAGGGCTAGCCAGTGCAGTATATATATATATAACCATTTATATGACCACTTGATGAAAAATCGAGGGAATGACACGCATTATCATACGATGGGAAAATCTATGCAGCCGACTGAAAAACAGAACATGGGGTCATCCTGAAGTGGGAACCAAACCACTGAGGTATTATAGGAAATGAGCTAAATCAAACTGCGGTCAACAGATCTCAATACAGGGATTACAGACCAATATCCAGCGAGGCAGCGAAGTCAATTATAGTTATAATTATAAAGTGGGGTCAGTGGTCAAACGACAATCTGGTCCGAATCCAGTGCCGAATTATTTTAGGTCCGGTATTCTATTTCTTGGTACATATCATAATTTCATGGCATGAATGTATTAAAAGTTTGAAGTTAAATTTTAATCTTCACATTTTGGCGCCAATGAAAAATTGTTGGAGTTTTCACAAATCATACATTAGTTTAAGTTATTTACTAATCATTCCTAGCTAAATTAACTGAGTGCTTTTGAGTATTTTATCGGACCCGGGACCTTATTTGGACGGACATTACATGAACGGACATAATTATGAACGGACATTAATATGAACGCTCGAAGGCATTCAAAACCATCAAAAATCCGAATTTTTTTCAATTTTTTGACGTTTTTTAAATTTCAGCAAATGATTTTTAAATCCATTTTTAAACAGTAAGTAAGAAAAGCAGTCATTAAGCAGTAAAAATGTTAGAATATGTGTACATGATCAGTGTCTAATATCACATATCATCTTCATCAAATGGGTTTTCGTGCATGAAATAGTCCATGCTTAAACAAGCATCAGTGATTTCTAGCTTTATGGAACCCTTTTTTTTTAATCAAACTACCCCGGTCCTGCATTTCAGTGTTAACTTTTACAAGCCATTTGGCGTGAAGTGGTTTATCTTAGACAACTTTAGGTTAAACTTAACATCACGTGGAGCTTTCCTAGCACTGTTTCATTACCTCCCCTCAGTAATATGAACTATAACAACGTCGGACAATGTCCTTGGCAACACGATTTACCGTAGCTGTCGTAATATCTAGAGGCTGGAACAAGTTTGTCATGTTGGCGGGGACTAGCTCATGAACTATGTTGTTGAGTGCCATAATTTCGTTGACTTTTTCCGCCAAGTGACCCTTGAAAACATCATATTCTAGTAAAGTTTTCTGTGCCTCCGGCAGACCAAGGATAACCTTTCCGTCGTTAATTTACGGCACAATAAAGTTTTCATAGTTGTCATATTCTGGACAAAAAGTTCGAAATGGAATTGAAATACTTTTGAAAATTTTTTTTTGAAATATGCTACTACTACTAGTACTGGCCTGGCCCATTAACTTTAAGAGAGATGCCCAATTAAGTAAATCATTTTCCATTTTTTACGTGTTTCTGGACACAAAGTGAGTCATTTTGCATTTTGTGACAAATACTATTAGTATTACTATGTTGCTTATGAGTCTTTTAGGACCTTTCTATACTATTTGATAGTCCAATAGGCATAGCCCATTTGTGAGTATTGTCATTGTTCGCTCGGTAATGTGTAGACTGTCATAGTTAGGAACGCCCACTATCTCGCCATATACCCAAAGTTGGTTCGTGCGCACTAAACGCACTTTTAAATCCGAACGCACTTAACGCACGAACAATAAAAAACGCACTTTTAAATCTGTTTCTAACTATAGGAGGTGCACGATAAAAATAAACTTGCTCGGATTTAAAAAATTTTTGTACCAGTGTTTTCTAGAGACCGTGAGAATTTTCACAATACCAAATTTGGCATACTGCATACCTTCTTGGAAAGATTAGCGAATTTCGCCTAAGTGCCATATTTGATGGTGCGCGGCTTTTGGAGCAAAAGTAGCTGTAAAAGTCGCGTAATTTGACCAAATTCGTCCAAATTTGACCATTTTTGTCGTATTATTCGTTGACGGATGTTACTCGTCTAAGTTTCTTCGAAGTAGCGCGCGCCGGGCCAGATCATTAACAATGGTCAAATTATTCGGATTTATCTTCAGTTCCTTAAATGAGATCATTCTGAAAATTGGCGACGACCTTCCAATAGGGCTTTTACAACTGTCCGAAAAATTTGGTGGATATCGGAGTTGATATAGTGATCAAAATGGGGCAAAATACGCTGCTTTTAGCTGTAACATAATGTCTGTTAATTGGATATGCTTTACATTTTTCGGACACTTTCCTTGTAAATCTATGAGTAAGCTTACCAATTTTTGTTGCAATTGGAGGTCGGGAAGGATACTCAATATTTATTTGTTTGAAGAAAATTGTGCTGGCCGAAATTAGCGCTAAAAAACCATCCTACAGTCGGCACGCGCGGCTCACTGTCGATGGCGCACTACCTACTAACTAATCTGTAATCATTGCGCTGCGTGGGCTTGCCAGAATACTACTGCACGTGTGTGAACTAAAGTCTAAAACTACGCCGCGCAATGGATCGTGTTCAGCTGATCACTTCTCTTTGACGGTCTCTTTGTATCGCACTGTCTGGCGAGCTCCTGCGTTTGCAGTCATAAAAAGTTTTTAATTTTTTCCAAAAAAAACCTCGTAATGTAAAGGCAGACGCACGTAACGCACTTTGCCGCACTGTACTTAAACGCACGATAAAATCTTCACGAACTAAAGTCACTTTTCCTGTAAAAGTAACGCACGAACCAACTATGGTTATACCAGTTAGTTTACTAAGACCAGTTTACAACAACTTTCTATACATGATTCATTTTGTGACGGCTGACAGACGACTCCACCACGCAAAGACTTTTCCTTGGCAAGGGTCTGAGAATCAGTCTAGCTAAACAGT